TCATGGGCCTCTTGGCTGCATCTCTGATCAGTCTTCTCCTTGTTTGAGATGAAAGTTTGGAGGGACGGCCGGGTCTTGGTAGATTTGCAGTGGTCTGATACTCCTTCCATTTCAATTTAATTGCTTGCACAGTGCTCCTTGAGATGTTTAAAGCTTGGGAAATCTTTTTGTATCCAAAACAGAACCCTGAGACTATCAAAGAGCAGGTGCATTTATACGGAGACTTGATTACACACAGGTGCATTCTATTTATCATCATCAGTCATTTAGGACAACATTGGATCATTCAAAGATCCTCTCTGAACTTCTGGACTGAGTTTGCTGCACTGAAAGTAAAGGGGCCGAATAATATTGCACGCCCCACTTTTCAGTTTTTTATTTGTTAAAAAAGTTTAAATTATCCAATAAATTTTGTTCCACTTCACGATTGTGTCCCACTTGTTGTTGATTCATGACAAAAAATTAAAATTTTATATCTGTATTTTTATTTTTTCAAGAATAGCTTCCTTCCCCTTAAATTGAATTGATCTGCTTTTCTTTCGTGACACAAAAGAACAGGAAATGGACTTTCTCTTTGTGTTTAGCTCAAAGTTTCATATACCACAAAGTTTCACAACTTCAAATATATCAACTTATCTGTCTCTCTGGTCTGTCTCTGGTCTCTCTCTCTGCTCTCTCTCTCTACTTTCTCTCTCTGGTCTCTGTCTGGTCTCCCTGGTCTCTCTCAACCTGGCAACTTATCTAATTCCTCTCAAATAATGATCCGGGGAGAAAAATAAAAATACATTTATTTTTTCAAAATTGGCTTCTTTCCCATTGAGTTGAATGGGCTTGGGCCAATTAGCTGAAATACAATTCTACAACATGAACACTTTTTTGTTGCAATCACTGGTAATATTCTCTGCAAAGGTTTATTGAGACCTTTATCAAAGTGATGAACCAAAGACAGATTTATATTGCTGGTAAATATAAAAGACCTCTGAGAAAGTCCTTTTCGTGACAAAAACAAACAGGAAATGGTTTTTCCTCAGTGGAGCTTTTTCTGTGTATTTAGGCTGAAGTTTCATATACCACAAAGTTTCACAACATCTTTGTCAAAAAATTTCAACTTTTGTTTCTCTCAGAAACAGACCAGAGCTGTTTCTGGTCTTTTCTCTCTGGTCTCTCTCTCTCTGGTCTTTCTCTAGTCTCTCTTCGGTCTCTCTCTGGCCTCTCTCTCTGGTCTCTTTCTGGTCTCTCTTTTCGGGTCTCTCTCGGGTCTCTCTCTCTGGTCTCTCTCTCTGGTCTCTCTCTCTGGTCTCTGCCTCTTGTCTCTCTCTCGGGTCTCTCTCGGGTCTCTCTCGGGTCTCTCTCTCTGGTCTCTCTCTCTGGTCTCTCTCTCTGGTCTCTCGCAAGTCTCTCTCTCTGGTCTCTGCCTCTTGTCTCTCTCTCGGGTCTCTCTCTCTGGTCCCTCTCTCTGGTCTCTCTCTCTGGTCCCTCTCTCTGGTCTCTCTCTCTGGTCTCTCTCTCTGGTCTCTCTCTCTGGTCTCTCTCTCTGGTCTCTCTCTGGTCTCTCTGTGGTGTCTCTCTCTGGTCTCTCTGTGGTGTCTCTCTCTGGTCTCTCTCTGGTCTCTCTCTCTGGTCTCTCTCTCTGGTCTCTCTCTCTGGTCTCTCTCTCTGGTCTCTCTCTCTGGTCTCTCTGGTCTCTATTTATTTA